GGGAGGGTAGAGTGTCGTGTCGCTTGTTTTAACTGTCAGGTCACCTACCCTTAGGTTAACCTGCTTTTTTTTAGCATATTATACATGTACCTCGATATGAATCCTGCCGTCTCAAGAATGAAAGAAATAATGAAAATGCATATAATGGAGGGTATTTTTTCGGTGTCATTAGTTTGTGACAGTAATATCCTGGTCTTTTTGCCGGGGTGTCGTACCTGTATTAGTTCTGTGCTGACAGACGTGATTGAAAGGCTGCGTACTATTTAATTTAAATGGTGTCGATTTTCATTCATTCATTCATTCATTCATTCATTCATTCATTCATTCATTCATTCATTCATTCATTCATTCATTCATTCATTCATTCGTACATGCATACATTCATTCATTCATTCAATCATTCATTAATTCTTTCATTCGTTCATTCATTCATTCAATCATTCATGCTTTCATTCATTCATTTTTGTGGGGTAAACGCTTACAATAGTTGTTGTTTTTTTTCATATACCGTTACGTCGTTCTTGATTTGCCTTTGTACGACAGAATCGCTCGTCATGCCAGGTCTACTGTTTTTTAGTGAACGTTTGTTTCACTTTTGCTCGTCGACGATCGAGATTGATGGGTTGGGAGTCTGCCGCCACTTGTTGGTCAATAAAGTACTTGTCACTCCCTCTGTCGTTTCTCTTTGTTTGTTTCGTTTTTTTAGCTAGCACGTTTGTTTCGTTTTTTTAGCTAGCATAAAATGGTCGTTATCATTTCGACGTGCTTCTATGTCTTTACTTAGACAAGTCGAACTTAGGCTCATCTACATAAAAGGGAAAAGAATTGTTTTTAGTATCCATGTCTATTGGTAGGAGTAATGAAATTATGTCATGAGGAGGTGACAATTAAATACACTTATTTTGGAAAGTGAGGTCTGAGTCTGACTGTTCTATAACACTATCAAGTTGTTACAAGACGGGACCTATGACCTAAACTCTTCCAGGACGTAGCGGACCACCAGCATGTACCCAAGGCAATATAATTTGCGGCACATTTCAAACCATCGTACACAATAAATCAAAAATGCAAATGTCATTTTTTATTGTAAGCATGTAATTGTGTGCATTTTTTTAGGGGGGTGGGACCCGGGTATAGACAGCGGAAGATTGTGTTAGTTTGTTCGTGTTTGTGCGCTTTATCAGCTGCTTGCATTATTGTATGTTTCCCAGGAAGCCATGACTGTTCTTGAGTGGTCCAGGGACTGCTGCGAGTAATAATAGTTGTTGCACTTAATGCATACTGTAGGGCTTGGATGATATATATATATATATAATGCAATTATTTTACCGTCAAGTGACACCTCTAATCTTCTGAATTTCAATGTCCTATTTGCGGTGAAAGTGACGGAAAATTTTTACTACAGAGCCCAAAAAATTATCCTGGTTGTATTAAAACCATTCTCTTCGAACAAAGAACGGATACTTAAAACTTTAACATAGCCTAAGGGCATTGCACCTGCCTCACATAATAAATAATGATAGTTTCATTGCATTCCACTATCCAATTTTTTTTTTTTTACATCGCCCGCGTTATGATATTTTGAGAGATGCTCGTAATAATAATAGTTATATGATTTCCTCCATTCGTTTTTCATAACTGACTAGACATAACTTTACACTCATCTTAATTGTCATTGTCTAGAGCGCCAATTTCATTCCTGTCTTGTCAGTTTTACGGCGTACTGTGTCACCTGTACCTGGTTATGGTAGCGTTTTCTCATTTATAGGGAGGGGAAATTGTTTTTATCGATTGTAGTATTTTTTGGTGCTGTGGTAACGAATAAAGGTACTGTATCTTTGATTTTCCGCTGATTATGGTCACAAAATTGTGTTTGAATGACCTCATTTTTGGAATGTTTTTTTCTAAAGGGGCCCAGCTAGTGAACTATCATTTGCTTTCGTTTATTTATGTTACATTTAAAAAAAACCTTCCTAATATAATACTGTTTTTTTTTGTCTTGGAGGTTGTATGAACTTAGAGAGGTAAATCAAGAACCCCTCTTCCTTCTTCTCTCAGCC